TGAATCCTGCTTACGCCACTAATACTTAAAGGACATTTTAATAATCCAACACATTTTTTCGTAGGGCTAAACGATAAAGAACTATTTCTAAATCAATTTCTTATCTGGATCATTTAGTAAAAGATGTTCAGAAAGTTTCGACTCCTCTCTCTAAATTGACGTTATTTATATAGAAGACATACGTAAACAGTAGATCAAAATATACGTACTTCATATATGAGTATGGATAGCTGTATTATGAGGAATTTCACGCTTGCCATAAAAATTCCTAGACAACATTTTTTATAAATATTTGAAAAACTATTTACTTGAGTGAAGAGGGAATCACAGACAAAATGATTAAAAAATTAGATCCAGATTTATAAGTCATCATCACCGATTTTCTCGATGGGCTGTTACAGGGAAGTCACTTGTATACCTTTGCCTAATTCGTGTAGCAATCAGTGAAGCGCAAACATATAAAAAGTCATACAGGTGACCAAGTTATTTTATCTGATCTTTTCTGCGTCAGATAGAGTATTGTCTTTAACGACCTATGCCATATCTTGATTGAATGTTTCGTGTGACTTTGAACTCATCTTCTACAGCGCCCTTTTGACCCCGTCCCGCATCCCCTACCAACATCTACTCTCTACACCCCTCCCAAACGATGTTTTATGAAGTTTTGAGCATTTTCAAAAAAATGTTGTTTTGACCTTTGACCCTGACACAAACAAACAGAGAAACAGACAAACAAACTTTTTTTTCATATGACCCTCCTTTCAGTCGAGGAGACTAAAAATCAATGTACGCTACAGAAGTGACGGACAGATAAAGTTTGAAGGTCACATTTGTTTCTTTACTTTATCAATATTTTTCTTCTAGCACTTATTTTGTAAATAATGATGAACGTCTTTATTTATTATTTGGAGCGATATATCTCATAGATTCTGATTGAAATACTAATTGTCAAATGAAGTGTTTCAATGACTGATCCATTAAGAAAATTATAATTTGTTTTCAAGTAATTTTTGGCCAGCTTCTATTGCTGCCTGATCATCAGCATTGGGTCCACCAAGTTTTGCTAGAAAGTTTTCGAGTTCGGTAACTAAACCCGTGACGGCTGCTTGTGTCCTTTGTGTCTCTTGTTTCAACTGTGCTAGAAATTGATTTCGTTCATTATCGTCACGCGCGGCAAGCATTTTTGAGAGACCAGCCAGACGAGTCATCACATAATTCGTAGACATATCTACATAAGTTCGAGACATTAGATAAAGCATTTGTGTTTGTGAATCAATTTCGATAGCTTGTGCTTTAAGAAGATCTACGTAAAAGAGTCGTTCATCCAGTGTCAGTGATTCTGTCCCTGCTTGATTTGCTTGAGTGATAAAAGGTCCAAGAG